TTTCCTTTATCCTGATCTAAATATGTCCATTCTTTTCTTCATTTACATATTCACCCCCACCATTGTTATTAGGTTAGGTATTTAAATTTTCCTTCCTCTTTGTCTTTATATCTAGGTTTCTTTACTTTTATTTTAATTTCTGTATTTATCACTTTCTTCTTCTCCATACTCAACTTTACCTTCTTCCTTGTTTGAGTCTAATCTATTCATGTACATACATACATACATTTTATTCCTGAACTGCTGCTTAGCACGTTTCTTTAATTCGCTATCAATATTAAAGCATACATTTAGGGGGCATTTCCGCCCCAACCATGTACATGTGTGCATTGGTATTGGTGTGACTTTTGAATTGATTTTTTCGCTCTATTTTAAACTGATTTGAAATTTTAAAAATTGCCTGCACATCAGCATCAAAATACCTTTCTAATGATATATAACTGTTTATACCTTAGAAGTATAGTTTAGCCGTAAAAGGGGTGTAAAGGAAACATGATTGCCTATTTATATATATGATGATATAAGGAAGTTTTGAAAGTTAGGGGGGGGGCTCGAGCACCCCCTGCCCCTACCTGGCTACGCCCATGTGTCTACAAATTCTGAACAAAAACGGTGAAAGTTTTATAAAACTTTGTTGATGTTTTTCAATCTTTCAAGTTTGGATTTAATTGTAAGGGTTTTTGTTAGACAATGAGCTACAATTTTATAAAAAAATAATAATTAAAATTCATTACAAATAAATGCAATAAATACCGGGTGACCGTGTAATTTTGTCAAAGATGAAGACAATAATGATAAAAAAATTAATACACTATGTAGGTCAGTTCATATTAATGGAAATAAATCACATAACGCATAACGCATCACTACAACGCATGAAATTTACATACAATTTTTTACTTGCAACACCCGATGTTGATGAAGATGTTTTTTAAATAATTAGCTATCAGGGATATTTCACCCGCCGGTGAAAAGAAATCGCAATCACCATAACGCACAACAGTAATATTACAGTTCACAATCACGTTTACATTCAAAATTGCAATTCATAATTTCGTTTTGTAGCAAATATGAAATATGGGTACATATATCCATTTACATAAAGGTAAACGTACAAAGAATCAAAG